GGGCACACAGGATCCGGGCGGCTGATGTCTGTCAGCACGGCTGAGGCACTCCCAGCACCAGCCCCACTGCTGGCAGCGTGCCACAGGCACCCACACTCAGCTCAGCCCCCAGCTGTGCACCACGTCGGGCCAATGCTGCTGGGCCGTGCACCCTGGGGCCCCTGTCCCCACCTCCTGGGGCCTCAGCGCAGCCAGGATGCGTCCACAGCCCAGCTCCAGGGATCGGACCCTGCTGGGACTGGCGGTGCCTTGACCACACAGCTCCACCTGTCAGCTTCAGGCCTGGAGGTTTGTGTGGGCTGGAGCCAGTCCCAGCTCTGGGCTGGAGCAGGAGTATCTGGGCACCAGCAGCACTCCAGGTACCCCCACGGCCATCCAGAGCAGCCCACAGCTGCTTTTCCAGGCCTCTGATGGCCCTGGCCAGCCCCATGCTTGCTCACAGACTTGAGAACAAACTCACAGCCAGAACAGAGCAGGCTGGTGTTTTTCCAACTTTTATTTTAAAAGTCATAATTGAAGCTTAACAAAGCCTGACCCCATTATTGTTGTGAGAGCCGGGGGCAACTGCAGTCCCCTTGGGGCCCTTCTACCGACCCCCGCCCACCCCAGCCCCGCTTCCCGTGGAGCTCCCAATTCATGGGCCCTTGCGTGCCTCCGCGTGGGGCTCTGCAACGACTTCGACCACAAGCAACCTTAAAAGAACGTTTGTTTACTGGGGAAGGGGGTTCCCTCCGTGGGTGGTGAGGGCAACGAGAGAGCAGGGCCTGTGGCTGTGGGCCCAGGGAACCCTGGTGTCCCCCTCCCCCGGTACAGACATGCAGGTATTTATAAAAGAAAGGCAGATCGGGGACCGGGGCCGCGTGAGGCAGCTCTGCTCAGACAGCATCTTCCCTAGGGACAAATAAAAAAAGTACGGCCAAGCCAGAGGGTCACGGGAAACCGTCATCATCGTCTTCTGCCATCTCCTTTGCAAACTCCAGGTCCTGCTGCTCACGCTCCCGGCGCTCCTGGAAAGCGAAGGCAGAAGTTAGCGGCCATGAGGGAGAGGATCCGGGTCCTTCCAATGGCCTTGGTGACTGCTGGGCTGCAGCATGAGCAAGCCTTCTGCCAGTACACAGCCAGCTGAGCCAGAGGGCAGCAGAGGCACGGATGAGGTCTCACCTCTGCAGATTCCAAGTCCTTGTTGTAAGATTTGGGCGGGAACCTCATGGCCTGGAAAAACAAGGGAGACAAGAAGCTGTGAGCAGAAAGAGGCCTCGACTCTGCCCTGTTGTCCCCTTCTGCCAGGCAGAAAGCCACTGCGTTCAAGCCAGCTCTGTCCCAGCCTTAGCTGGACCTCCTTTTCCCATCGGGGCTGAACCTGGGAAGGCAATAAGATGCCTGGGCCAGTTCTGGGAGGCTGATGGAGCCCTCTTCCCTCCAGCTCTGCAGAGAAGCCCTGTGATTCCCTGTGGACGTGCCTGAAGCCTCCCAGTGTGGCCCATTCACCTGATAGGGCAATCCCAGTGGCAAAGGCCCTGCCAGAGAATCAGCTGGAGACCAGCGTGAGGTGCCTGTGCTGCTGCGCTCACCTTGACAGACATGTTGTGGATGTCGAGGCAGAAAGAGATGCGCTGGTGAAATGCCAGCTGGGGCTCCCGGGTTGAGTAGATGTCGATCATTTCTTTTGACTGGACATAACCCTTCTCATGGTTAATGCTGGCCTCGATCACGCCATCCCGGATGGCCTGCAAGCCGGAGGGCACGTGGTCAGGGCACCCGCTGTCTCTGAGGGCTGAGGCAGCAGTTTAGCGCGAAGGGAGTTGGCTGCTGCAACAGGAGCGCTGGACTCGGGACACAGCGCACAGAGACGGGACATGGTGACCTAAGTGTCCCCAGGAAGGGAGTGTTGCAGAGATGGGCGGAAGCAGCCTGGCAGCAGTGCAAGGCCAGCTGCAAGAACCAGGAGCTGCAGACAGGTCCTGGGACCCAGAAGTCATACAGTCGTGTGAGATTTCATATGCAGCTACCTTGGCAACGATGAACTCTGCATCCTCCGGACTGTCCAGCTGTAGCTTCTGGGCGATATCAGCCAGGGAAATGCGAGAATAGGAGAGGCTGATCATACGGACACCTGAGACAAGAAGAAAGAGAACTGAGCCCGCTTTTGCCAGGCAGCCACAGTCCCAGGTGCACAAGGTGACACTCAGCTGCCCGCCAAGCCTGCAGCACCAGCTGTGACACAGCCCCCAAATACCAGAGCGGCAACCTCCTACCTGTCTTGATGACGTTGTGCCTCAAGCGAATGATCAGGGTGTAGGTCCCGTCGGCCTGGAACTTGTCCCCAAACTGATCGAGGACCTGGTTGAACTTGGCCAGGTTCCCAGTCCTGACGGCTGGAGCAGGCAGATGAAGGGGGAGAGAACGTGTAAATCGGGGAAGGATCTAAGGCCGAGGTGCTAGCAGGGAATGTGAGGCGGGGGCCTGACTCCCAGGCCTGCCATCCATTCCTCTTATGAGCTGAGAGGAGAACCCAGGTGTCCTGCGCCCAGCTGCTCAACAGCCTTTCAGGGACTGTGGACTCGCACTTCAGACTGGCACCAAGAGGAGTCTGGCAGCTGGGTCCCTTTGAGGCAAGAGGAGAGAAACCCCCATTGCTCACCACCCCCCCAAGGCTTCCCGCTCCCTTGAAGCACAAAACATGGTGCCAAGACATCACAGTGCCACGGCTCCCAAGAGGAGCCGAGCATGGGCAGGAACGGCCCGTCGTACCCTGAGTCAGGAGGAAGTAGGGCATGAGTGACCGCTTGAGAGAGGGCTGCCTGAACTGGAGCCTGTCCGGGATCTCCCCTAGCAGCAGTTCCACCACGATGAGCAGCTTGTGCACCTTAAGCAAAAAGAGACTATGAGTCCCCAGAGAGCCCAGGCTAGGGCTAAACCCTGCGGACAGCTTCCCCACAGGAGCAGAATGGAGGGAAGCCAGCAAGGTGGTGAGACCTACCCTGCCCCAACTGCGATCCACAACCAACAAGGAACCAACACCCCCGAGCGCTTGTGCGCTTCCCATGCTTGCTCACCGTCTGTTTGAAGCCAACAGCTGTGTGCTGTGGTGCCTTCCGCAGGGCATTCGTCATGGTCCTCCGCGCCTCTGAATACTCCAGCTGAATGGCCTTGATGCGCCCTGGGAGAGGGAGAGGGTTCACACGAGGCAGGAAGCGTTTGGAAAAGCCACCGAGTGAATCCAACTGGACCCACCTGGCTGGGGCTTTAAATTCAGAGTTGAAGCCCCAATGCCGACTGCTCAAACAGATTTTCTGGAGGACCAGAGACCCAAATCTCACATGCATCCTGATCTGCCAGTGGCATGCAGGACCCTCTGTATCTCACCTGTGTAATAGAGGTACCGTGCCCACTCGTTGTTGTTGGCCTGCTCAGGAAACACGGACTTGGAGACGAGCTTTTCTGCTTGGTCGTAGAGGTTGTAGTGAAGGTAGTTCCTCAGCAGCAGGTTCAGGAGGGTGGCCTGCCCGTCTGCATCGTGGCGCAGCGTGGCTGTCCGCAGCCGGGCATGCAGGAAGCTTCAGCGAAGGGAAAGTGCGCGTCAAGGAGGGGAAGGAAAGAAATAGCCCGGCTCACCCAGACTCGCAGAGCCAAGCTCAGGGAGAGCCTGCACCCAGGACCATCGTGGAGGGCCAGTCCTACCTCCTGACCACATCAAGTTTATTCAGGAACTCATAGATGCGTGAGTGGTAATAATAACACTTAGCCACCACCAGGTCAAGGGCACGGCGGTTTTGGGAACTGATCTTCTGCATCAGGTCATCGGACACTTTCTGGGCCTGCAGGAAAGGAGCAGAGGTCAGAACAAATGAGCTGCTGCCCAGGAGGAGCTGGGAGACAGACAGGGCTGTGGGCTGCTTTGTCCAAGAGCTGCAGCAAACCCTGGAGGCTGCCTTCTGGCAGAGCCCTTCCAAAAACAGGTGAGGGAAAGAGAAACCTGTGGGGCAAGGAGGCAGGCAGGCAGGCCGGCCACTGGGGCTCTCCAGTCCCGGGTCCTGGCCTGGTGCAGGAGTGCTGTGTGAAGAGCTCAGGTTTAGAGCGGGCAGCCTGGGGAATCTCACCTCTGGGTATCGCTTGCTGTTCATCAGGTAGATTACAAGAAGCAGCTGGAGGTAGGTCTCCACTTCTGGCAAGAGAGGGGCTGAAGCTGCCTTCCCCGTCCGTGGGCGAAACTGCAGCTCTGCTTCTGTGTCCATGGACTGCGGGGAGAGAGACACACACTGGGCCCCGGTCTCAGCCCACCACCGCCTTCCCAGAAGGGCCTCCGTGGCCAGCATCCCTCACGCCTCTGCTGGCAGGAAGCGCCACAAGCGAGGCTGGTCCCCAGGCCCGCACCCACACTGAGCGTGACACGCTGGAGCCAGCCAGAGCTGCTGGCAACACAGCCCCATCCCTGCTAGGGGCTGCAGTGACCTATCTGATTTCACGCCTGCTCCTGTCCAGCCAGACAGCGCATCTCCAACATCCCCAGGCCCTTGCCTTTCCTGATGTCCTTCTGCCCCGCAGCAGCACCCAGATGCTCCTCAGCGCAGCCCCTCCACAGCCAGTCGCCTCTCCCCATGCCCTGCAGCCTTACCTCCTCCAGGAAGCTGAGGAGGAAGTCGCGCATGGTGCTGTTGGAGGTGAAGAAGCCGTTGATGGCTTTGTGGAGCACGTTGGAGTTGAGTCGGCGGGACGTGGAGGGCAGAGCCCGCAAGGCACGCAGGACGTAGCGTGGCTCCTTCCCCGACACGGCCTTCTCAAGCTGCTTCACGTGCTCTTTGATATCTGTAGCAGCAAAGGGGATGTGGCGTTAGCGCACCATCTCCCAAAGCAAAGCGGAAACCAGAATCACAGCAGGTAAGAGGGCTGCTCCATCCTGTCACTACTGCGCCCATCTATCTCCACTGTACTCGTTGGATGCAGCTCCAGGAGAGACCCTGGGTGCGCAGCCTCCGTGGCTGATCCTCCTCTGAGCAGGAGGCTGGACACCTCCAGAGGCCCCTTCCCACCTGAACTATCCCTTGATCCATGATGGGCTCCATCCCTCCTTCATAGCCCCCCCTCCCCAAGGTATCCACCACAGCTTTTCCCTAAATTCCTCCTTCCCCTGCCCTTGTCTGTCTGTCCCTACACCCCCTCACAGGGGCTCTCCAGAGGAACCCCCCCCAG